AGGCTGACGACAGGTGTTGCAAAGGGCTGCGTGTGTGTGCGGAACCACGGTGCCAACAGGCACACTCCCTGCAGGACCATAAGTGACGGTCACCAGGGCTGACCCCACGGGCCTGGACAGGTCTACATGTGGGTCAGCTGTGGATGCTCGAATTATTTGCAGGGTCAGCCGTTCTTTGCTCCACTGCTAAGCAGCAGGGGCTGCAAAATAGCATTGCCATTGACAAGCTGCAAAAACCAGGAGCTAGGACCAGCATCATTCGCTTGGACTTGACGCGAGAGGCTGATTGTTCACTCGTTGACAGCTGGCTCGAATCACCACTCTTGGTTTGGGTGCACTTGGCGCCTGTGTGTGGCACAGCAAGCCGCGCACGGGACATCAGAGTTTTGCCTACAGATCCAGCACCCCTGCGCAGTTGTGAACACCCAGATGGTTTACCAAACTTAGATGGGCGTGATTTGTTCAGGGTGCGTTTAGCCAACAAGCTTTTTGATTTTGCATGTAAGGTCTTTGCCAAAGCCACGGAACGTGGGATCTTGGTGACCATGGAAAACCCGAAGAATTCATACTTTTGGAGCACCAGTTTTTTCGTTCATTTGCAGTCCTCTTTTGAAATGCACACTGCAGATTTTCAGGTTTGCGTGTATGGAGGCACACGTGACAAGTGGACTAGATTCGTGGCGAACTTTCCTGAAGTTGGCCAACTTAGCATCGCTTGTGATAAGACCCACAGTCATGCACCCTGGCGATACGCGCAGGATGCCCAAGGAAAGCGAGTGTGGGCTACCAGCCTCGAAAGTGAATACACCCGCCTATGTATTGCCACGGTTCAGGTGGTGCTTCACAAAGCTCAGTCCTTAGGTCTCACGCTCCTTCCTCAATCTCTGAAGGAAATTCAGGCACATCCGTTGATGCAAAACCAGCAGTCTCGCATTGCGATCGGAAAGCAGCCATTTCGCAAAAGAGTACCACCAGTCATTCCCGATTTTGACTCTGTAGTTGTTGCTGTGCTTTCGGACAAGTCGCAGGTTCCTTTTCCGCTTCTTGGTAAGGTGCATTATGAACTTCAACTCCTGAGTGTCGAACTGCAACCACTTGTAATCCCAGTTAATTCACGCCTTTTGCGATTTTTCGCTGCCTTTGAGCCCTCCGCCAAGGGGGGTGGAAGCAAGGCCTCAGAGGCGTCAGGAGACAGGGATCTGGAACAAGCAGTTTCGCGCTCGGGTGCTGACCTCAGTCAATTTCCTTTTAGGGCGGTTTTTGGATTGCCTTGGAGTGCTGAAAACTTCATCAACAAAGCCAGAGGGGCGGGCCACCCGGCTCTCCTCGACATGCGCATTCCTGCTGACCTTGAAGTGGCCATTGACAAGAACACCTCGTGGACAGTCGAACAGATTTCTAAGTACCGGTCGGATTGGTGTCGGCGCTGGCTGAAAAGAGCGAAAGAGTTGGAGTCCGAAGAGCTTAGGGACCGAGAGAATCGCCCTGATCATGTGAAACACAGCACTCAGAGCAAACGAATCCTGGTCACCAGGGAGATTCTGGAAAGCATTGGTTATGAGGATGTGCAAGCTCTGGATTTATTGAAGCATGGGTCTACTCTTGCGGGTAGCATTGAGAGCTGCAACATTTTTGAGAACCAGTTCAAACCGTGTCTACTCACTCTGGAACAGCTGGAACAAGGAGCCGCTCGTAGGAACCAAGCCATCCTTGCCATGACTGTGAGCTCGGGAGATGAAACGGTTGACAGACAAGTTCTTGAGGAGACAAGAGTCGAGCTAGAACGTGGCTGGGCTCGCGGTCCTTTCAAGCTCGAAGATTTGCCGGATGACTGTGTTATTTCTAGGAGATTTCCCCTAGCGCAGTCCAACAAAACTAGGATGATCGATGATTTTAGCATTTCCGGAGTAAACGACTCGTGCACGATTCATTCGAAGATTGACCTCCACATGATTGACGCTTTGGGGGCAGTGGTTCGGAAGTATTTTCAGCGCTGCAGTGGGGCAAAAGCTGATAGTCGACTCTGGGCCAAGACCTTTGACCTCAAGAGTGCTTACCGACAAGTGCCGATACGAAGTGATCATCTGAAATACGCCTTCTTCAGCATCTACAATCCTGAGTCTCAGGGAGTTGAAATCTACCAGCTGCTGACGTTGCCTTTTGGGGCAACTCACTCGGTTTATTCCTTCCTCCGACTGGCCCGCATGATTCACACTGCTGCAGCAAAGGCCCTTTATGTACTGAACACCAACTTCTATGACGATTTTGTCCTCTTGTCAAACCCTGAAGCGAGCAAGTCGGCGAACCTGTCCATGGAGGTTTTGTTCCTGCTGACAGGCTGGGAATTTGCTAAGGAGGGCAAAAAGTCAACTTCCTTTGGTGAGCTGTGCTCGGCCCTCGGGGTCACATTTGACCTGAGCAAGTCTGAATCGCGGATTGCCAGAATCTACAATACAGAACAGAGGCGAGTTGACCTCATAAGCAAGCTTGAGGAAGTCTTGAAGTGTGGTGAACTGTCTAAACACGACTCGCTAGTTCTTCGCGGCCGCCTGGGATTTGCTGACAGCTTTTTGCATGGCAGGTTGGGTGGACTCCTGCTGAAGAAACTTGTGGAACATGCTTACTCCCGCCAGAAGACACTTGATCCCAGCACCAAGCAAGCGCTCGCAGCCATGAAGTTGCGACTGGAGCTTGGGCAGCCAGTTGAGATCTCGGACAAAGAGGCGGACCAATGGTTCATGTACACTGATGCTGCCTATGAACAATCCAGCAAGGATGGTGGCTTGGGAGCAGTAGTCCTGGATTGTGAAGGCACATGCAAAGCATGGTTTGGCATCGGCTTGGATCCGGAGCACTGCAAGTGCTTTGGCAGTGGTTCAAAGGATTCGATCATCTATGAGCTGGAACTACTAGCAGCAGTGCTGGCTTTCTGGGTTTGGGATGATAGACTCTCAAGCTGCCTTGTCACCTGGTTTGGAGATAACGATAGTGTTCGTTTTTCTCTCATCCGTGGATCTGGCACAGGTTGTTGGGGAGAGGCCTTGATGGAGTTTTATCTTCGACAGGAAGTAAAGCTTAACACTCAGACTTGGTTTGCCCGTGTTCCCACAGAGGCCAACGTCAGTGATTGGCCCTCACGCCTATGTAGGCATGAGCTCTTGAATGATGAAACGGATTGCTCAGTTGCTGCGCGTCACAAATTTCAGAGCTTGTGTGACTTTGTGAATGAACATGTCGGGTTGCACGAAGAAGAAAGGGGGAGAGCCAATCGTACAACTCCCAGTCGAAAAAGGAGCGATGTTTCATGAATTGTATGCAAGACACCAAGCACGTGGAAGACGACAGAACTCGTTGAAAACGATTGTGTTGTTATTTACGTGTTTTAGAATCGGGTGGCTTGCTTTAGAGTTTCATCTTTGAAGTCCGTTACATTTGAAAGTTCAAGGGAGGGTAGCGGTGGGTGCCACTTCATCGTGGCATTCGTGCTTAAACAAGCCCACCCACCCTCACCGTGGTATTCATGATCGCAAGACACGATCTCACTTTGCAAGAAAGCTTCAACTTTTCGGCCAGACCCTGGGCCTGAGCCAATCGTACAACCCCCAGTCGAAAAAGGAGCAATGTTTCATGAATTGTATGCAAGACACCAAGCACGTGGAAGACATGCTTTTGATGACTTGTGCAAATTTGTTGACCAACAGGCTCATCCGAGAAACAAAAGGTGGAGAAGAGCTCGGAGTTTCCTTGTAAACTTTGTCAAGACACCAAACACATTAGTGACGACTAGCTTCACTGAAAGTGACGAAATTGTCACAACAGTGTTTCTTCAAGAAAACTTAAGGTTTTTCTGGGCGTCTTGCACTTGAAAATTTTTGAATGTGACATTTTGATCTCAAAGGAGGGCGCGGTGAGCTTGAATAGACTAAAATGGTCACACCTTTCCAAAAAAAGTGGGGCACCTCAAGTTACCTCAGACCATACAAGCCAAACCCAGGGCTTGAAGAGCCCGGCTGACCCCCCATTGAAAAGGAGCGCAGCTTCCTTGTGAAGTTTGTCCATACACCAAACACATTAGTGACAAATTTGTTTTTTGCATTTGCTTTTCAGCAGATTAAATGATGTCAAATGGCTAGATAGTCACTTGCAAACTTTTGATTAACTGATGGTTCCAAAATGTAAAGCACTCCACCCCCATGTGTTCCCACTTTGGAATTCTTGCAAAGTTAGGTAGTAGTACTTGAAAACATAGCTATGGACCCAATATGTTGGTAGTTTTCTGGTGGTAGCATTTGTGTTGGAATACGCAAACACAATTTTGATTTATTTTTCCTTCGGCTTCTCGTTTTGAAACCACAGTCTGTGCAATCACGTGTCAAAGTCTAAGAAGAGGTTGGATTATTGAAAAAAACAACTTTTTGGACAAAATGTGCTCAGAGGTTGTGCTTTGGAAATAGGCAACCAAAAAAATTTAGATAAATTGTTTCATTCTTTTCAGAGAGAAAGGAACCTTTTCGGCCAGCACTTCACACAACACCATGTCGCATCTTGTAGATTCCATTGTGCCAAACAGCTGCGTGGCACCAAATCAGCCCCTAGCCAAAAAAGTCCTTGAAGGAAGTTCACTCGAAAAATTCAAGGCCCGGCCGCACTGTATAGTGGATTTTTTTGGGGTTGGTGAATTCGCGTAGAACCCTGTGTTCCCAAACGTCTCCCCAAACCACAGCCTGCCCTAAGCAGGTAAACATTCCCACAACCAACAGAACACACCAATCTGTTGTTCGAAGCAATATACTCATTGATCTACCAATTGCTCTTTCAGGTCATTATGTTTCCACCATTAGACCCATGGTGTTATATCATGACCCCTGCTATAATGTATTTTTTGGAGTCTGAGTCTGAGGGTTTTTGGCCGGGGCCGCAAGGGCCATTAAATTATGTTGAACACATTCAGTTTCAATTTTAAGTGCATGTACGTAAACATTTCGTTGCCGTTCTGGTTCAGACTTTGTTGCTTTGGGCTTGCCGACGGCCGATGCAGAACAAATGGGTTACATGGCTCTGTTTCTTCGTGTTCTTTTACTGGGTTCTTGTCAACATGCTTGTTGAAGAGCAGCTAGTTTCCTGCACTTGGCAACCTAAGGAAACGGCTGAAGCTTCCGCTGTGCTGTGCAACGAAGGTAAATGCGTCTTTGTTCTGACAGCGGATGCACATTACATTTGCGGAGCAGTCGACTCAGTGGAATGACTCTGTCGAAAGGTTTGCAAATGACTGTAAAACTTGAAGAGGAGATGCTTGTGCTGCTTCGTTCCAAGCACATTCACATGGCTCCACGAGCCATTGTTTTTGCCACTCCAGGACGTTGGCATAGACAGGATACCGATACCGTCCGAAGTATGGGGATGCAAGGGGGCTCAGTATGTGAACTGCAATGTTGACTAAGCACATGGTCACCACCAAAGGTGCAGCGCAGTGGCTCCACCCTGAAGATTTCGCACGGTTGTGTCATTGCTCGCAAGCAGCTCAGTTTGCACGGCTTTTTGTTTTAGACATGTTAGTAATACTCAAACAACTATTTGTTCATTGTAGGTTGTCCCTCGTTCTTCGCCGCGAACAGCGACGAATGTGGCAATACTACTGTCACCTGGAGGTGTGGTTTTCCAATGGAAGGGGGCTATTTCAATCTTTCTTTTGAACCTGGACCTTTTGCATGCTTGTGGCCAAAGTCTCTCAACCTCAGGTTCTTTATTTTGATGGTTCATCAATAGGACGGGTGCTCTGACTGGTTTCCTTTCTTTCAAATTTGAGGGAGGACCTCTTTGTATCGCCCCCGATTCAAGTCCTTGGCTCCCGACGGCAAAGTGAACCAGATGAACCAGAAGGAGATATTGTTCAAATTCAAATCTCATTTCATTTTCCATCACCCCGACCTATGTATTCTTTCAAGTCATCTCTTCACAATGCAGGTCATTTCGCTTCACTTTACCTACCGCATTTTTTGCCTTGCTTGTCTCTTTCACGCACACTTTCTGCATTTTGTGTGCATTTCATTTTTGTCGTCTAGATTCTCGTCACTCTGGTTCATCATCTACTACTGTCTTGCTTAATCTTGCTTTGCCACAGCAATTACTGTAAGGGAGATGGGAACATGACGAGAAACATGGCTACAGTAGTATCGTTCACACTGATCTACCCGTTTGATGACGTTCTTCATTGTCGCCAGCATCTCGCCTCTTTTCAGCCCATCCTGTATGGGTTGGCTCAGCTAACCTCCTTTGGGACACCTTGTCTATACTGTAATGCTTCCATGGTAAAGATTTTTGCTTCAACCTCCTATCTATGATAGCGGGTGCGTGGGCATGGGCCTCTGCATTTTTGGAGGTCGTGTTCTACTGCAAATTTGCAGTTTGCACACGCAGAAACTTGCGAGATTCTGAGCTCATGGTTGGGGAGGGTCGTCATTTGATCTGATGCTGCAGGGATATGCGCAGCGTGTAGACGCTCTCGACTTGGGCCACTTTTGGACTGGTCCAAAGGCGTGGTGCTTAGTGTGAGAGAGCGCGATGTGCAGGATGTGGTCCTTTTCACCAGGTGAATTGGCACCGATGCTTCCAGCTGAATAGGCTGACAAAGGCCGTGCTTTTTCTTTTCAAAGTAACAGTGTGACTATTGCTTGGCAATGTCGCCAGTCATCGCCGCATGCGTTCGCATACATTCGGGCTGACAGCTTAGCACAGGGCATTGGACTGTTCATTCGATTTTCACTTAGTATGTGTTTGCTGAGAATTCTAGGTTGGGGATGAGGACCTCAGAATACCTGCAAAATGTGATGATGGCACTGTCCTCAAATCAGAGTTTCTGCAACCATATAACTGCAACAGATGTGCCTTCAAGTCAGGCAATGACAACGTTGCGTCTGCAACGCAGGTGGTCTAAGATATCTCATCCTCACACAATTCTTGCTGAAAATTGGTGCTAGGCATGGTTGTTCGACCATGGTTGGCGTCCTCGTTCCACTCTAGCAAAAGTTCTTTGGCAGATGCTTGAGTTTGACTCCAAGCTTTGGATGCTCAGTATGTTCAACCCCATATAGACGCATGTAGCTAGGCAAATGTGAAAACTGTTGAGATGGAACATTCGTGACATCGACGACTCAGGCCGTGCGATGCGCCCCATCGCTACAGGGACCTCATTGTGGGAAGGCCTGCCCCAGCAGCCAAGTCTTTTCACTTTACTGTACATACAGCTGCATAGATGAAGTTCACAGTTTCTGACCGTGCAAACTACTCTAAAATTCTAAGCATTATATAATTACAGTTTATAATATATCAACCTTCTGAAGCTTTGGGCACTTGCTTCAAGACATGTGCACTTTTATCTCCATGTGTAAACATGCAAACACTTTGCGGCTTTTTGCGGCTTTTGCGGGCGTGAGGCTGACCCTTGCGTCACTACAGTAATGTGTGTGAAGAACGTTGATGTCCCTCATGGCCAACGGGTACTGGTTGTTTTTTGCAACTAGAATGTAAAGCAGGGGTGACGTGGTGTGTGGAGATTCGCGATGACCTTTCTCGACCTTTCAGTGGCACGACTGTTGTTCTTCAGTGGAGTCATCAAAGCATCATTCAGAGTAAAGGGCGCACGAACAGGTCTGCTGATTTTCCGGACATGTACGTAGATCATGGCAATCTGATGCCAACCGAATCATGTATGTCCGCTGCGAGCTCCCGGCGCTGGATTGCAAGTGCAGTGCCCAGGCACTGCATCAGAGAGGATCTGGGTGGGACCTGGATCATCAGCCAGGTATTTGTTTTTTCCTGGTCAATCATGTTCAGGAGGTGGGTCGTCCTCTCTGCAAAAGGTGGCTACTGAGTGCCAGCAAGCGGAGTGTCACCCTGGACCCTGCACCATCGCACACTGCCGCGCAGTCATCATGAACCGGTGGACAAGACAGAGCTTGCGTGTGCTGCCTTCCCGCGCGACAATGTGACCTCACCCTGTGCATTTTGTCACAAGACCTTCAAGAAACGTCGTGCCTGCTTAGTCGCTTGGAATGTGGAAGTGTGCCAACTCCATCGGGGCTACTACTGATGCAGCGTCCGTGTCAGGCCACCCTTCACACAGATGAGAATCTACAACAGCACCTTTGATGGCGCCTCCTGCATGCGGAAAATGTACTTGCCACAGAGAGAGCACTTCGAGCGCAGGAAGTCGGTGAGATCAGGGCCGAGCCACCCTTGGTCCCACCTGCGAGCCGTTTCGAGGACCCCAAGTTCTGTCAAGTGGTGGCCGTGGACAGCGACTTCGGGGTCTTCACGCGGGCATGGTGCATGGCCACTGGGCAGTGGAACGGAATGGAATGGATAGAAGAGGCCATTGGAGAGCCACGGGGAAGCTGATTCTAGGAGTCGTTCGTGGTGTTCAAGGAACTTCGTGATGCTCAGTTGTCCCACACGCCAGGCTGTCTTTCGAACTGCAGCCGCTTGTAATCGACATAGGAAGTCGCATCAGCAGGAGACCGAGCAGCCTGAGAGCCCCACCAAAAGCACGATCAAAAGTTGCACGGACCTCAGACTCAAGTGTGTAAGCTTTAAAATGTCACAGGCAGAATAAGTGGACAACTTAAGTTCGTCGCTGGTCCGGAAACTATCGTGTCCGAACAAGCCCAATGGCGGGCAACAAATCGTGATGGTGAAAGCAGCGTAATTCTCGTTTGTGCGATGTGATGCATGCCTCATGATCTGGCGTTGCATCATGCTGCTGGCTCTTTGTAACTTGACAATGCCAGACATGGTGATGTCTGTGTTGAAAATGCCATAAGTCACCCTGCTGACATGTGCTGCTGCTTGCTTAAATAGTGGTCCGAACAAAGCCAGGTAGGCAGCCTCTTGAATGTGATCTAAAAGCAAATCTAACGAATCATGGCGCCAGCAGGAAACAACTTTGATCAGGGTTGGGGCCAGAGGCCTTCGGCGCCTTCACGTACCCATAACTTATATCTGAGACATCCCTGTAGGGCCACAAGAACTTCGGTCGAGAAGCAAGCTGCGTGGCAGCCGTCCGCGTACACATTGAGTCAATTGAGGTCCTTTTGAACCCACTGCGTAGAGGTTCGGGTGAGCCCTGTGAGTAGACACCGCATGGCAGCAGACCATAAAAATGCAACGGCCTTGTCTGGTTCCAATCCAAGCTTAGTGGGAACAACAGTTTCCATAACGCAACTAGAAGCCTGATGCCATTTCGTTAGCAAATCAATGAGCTGGGCAGGAAGGCTTTCAACACCAAGGCAGCGTGCGTGGCTTGAACAGGGCCGAGCGTATGCGTTCCAAACCGTTGGAACCTGGAACCCCACCATGCGCCACTACGTGCGTTCCTTTGGACCCACCTCCAGAAAGTCTTTGCTGGTCCGCATCGGAGCATTTAAGAGTCTCTCGACATGGCTGCCAGCCGGTTGGAGTGTGCAGTTGCCTTTGTGCCCACAATGAGTTTATTCTTCCGATTTTGGTTCTGGCCCACAACCTTCCAGCACCTTCCAGTGGGGAAACGGACGCAGCCGCTTTGGGAATCGTTTTTCACCTGGCTTCAGCTTTTGGTCCTTTGTGGCTGCATTGTTCTGGTCGGCTGACGACTGTGCTTGTTCCACGCGCGGTGTGTGGTGTTCGATCAGGGTGTCCACAAGGCCTTGAGAGAGGCGAAGCTTGAGATTTTTCCCGGTAATCCCGCGACCATCTATGATTGGCTGACCTCGAGGTTGATGAAGTGCAGCAGGGTGGAAAGTGGATCGTGAATCGGCCGGTCCTATTGCCAACTTTGAGATGATTGGCCTGTGTGACAGAAGTGCAAGGCTTGTAAGTCCCTTTGGTCTCCACAAGTGATCGGCACCTTCATGGCGTCAGTGCTGGAAGAGCCGTTTGGCTTGAAGCCGGGTTCCCTGTCAGAAGAATTCTGGCACCACTATAACCGCTAACCGCTTTTCTTCCTTGTTGCTTTCGACCTGACGCATTGAGCATCTCATGCTGCCTTCTGGGCAATCTTCCAAGACATTATCATCCACAAGGGCCGGGTGCTTGCCTTGTGGTCATGTCTATGACCTGTGAAGTGCTTTGTGTTTGCTTGATCAGATTGTGGCCCCTCTAGAGGCCTGTTGGAACTGGCTTCTTGAGCAGCAGTTTCGATAGAGAAATCGGCCGCCCAATCAATCAGGACACGCTGTCGTCTACAATCTTTCTACAATCTCTAGTGCCAATCTCGGCCTGCAGGCGCAGAAGGTACAGTTGATACACGCCCTTAGACATTCCAAACATTGGAGCTTACAAGAGCCCTTTGAGCGTCGGGGCGACCGCCGCTAGCAGCTACTTCAAACGCTCTCCTTGTGATTTTCCTTCTCCTGCTGCCTCCTGGTGAAGAGGATTTGCTGAGACAGTAGGTTGAGCGACTTCTGGCTCATGGACTGTGAGATTTGGAAGATTGAGTTTCTTCTATCTAATCACCAGACCTCATTGCCGTTTCAAGCAGCTCCTCGGGCAACTGCAGGTCATTTCCCCCGAGCGCACTCCAAGCTCGACAAGCGAACTTGCGTTGAAACTTTTCTTTTCTTTGACGGTCCCGTATTGGACGATTCTGCCTTCCCTCTTCCTTCTCGGAGAAAACGCACTGTGTTTCGGGCAGTGACCTGACGCAGGATCTTCCTTCTTGAGCGCTATGCCTTTCGACGCGGTGATCTGGGAGGATCTCCTACATCCTGCGGCTCCTGCGAGGATCTGGTCCTAAGACTAATTGCTTTCGGTTTTGCTTGACCCTGCCCTGGGGGTAGGCCAACTTGGGGCCAAGTTCTGGCCATCTTGGGCCAAGTTGACGCCGAGATGTTCGGAAGATGTTGCTCTGAAACGTCCAACATGGCCGATTTTATGCGCTATTGAAAAGCATGTAAGACAGAGGGTTTGAGGCGACCTTTTAGGGGCCTGTGACTTTCAACAAACGCCCCCGCCCCCAAACTAAGAACACTACAGTATACGTGCTATTGGGCGATACTGCGGCGCAACGTGATCACGCTGCAACACCTTGTGCGTGGGCAAATTGAACCTTGAACATACTCTCGCCAACCCTCTTGACCTTGTTCGCTGTGTGTGCAGGCTGTATGGGATTCGTTACGTTCAACGTGCACGAAATTGTCTCCCAACGAATCCTGCCCTGCATGGTGACCCATTCGGGTTGGTTTGGTTCGGTTTTCGCCTGCTGCGTTCTCCTCCTCGCTTGGCGACCAATTCGGGTGATAGGTTTGGCTCGGCTTTTCCCCAATGCACTGAATCTGCATGCCTTGCGCTGCCCTGGTGACCGATTCGCAGCGACCGATCCGGCAACCGATTTGGACATCCTGACCGATTCTTTTGTTACTGTTGTTCTTGGTGACCGATTCGGTGTTCTTGGTCACCAATGCCTGGTTTGCGGAAATTATTGTGACCGATCTCGGTGTCCGATTCGGAGCTCATCCTCATCCTTTGACGCAAGGTGTTTTTGCAGCATGCATTTATGCATTTGGGGTTGACCCCTTGCCGCTATATACCTGGTCGGAAGGTGGAAAAAACCAAGCTTCGCACACTGGACTCACCTGAGATAAAGGTTTTGCTGCCCAATCAACAATGGATTTGCTTGTAATGGTCGAAGGAGTTCAGGGTCTTGAAATGGAACACAAAAACTGCTTCACCCCAGTCCCAGTATACCTTTTGCCGCCCTGTTCCTGTGTTCGCCCAGTCAGCTATGACATCGCCCACATTATAATCATAAGTATATATATGGTTTCCATCACAGAGCCACGAAAGCAGTCGCCACGCTCAAGCTTCTAGGCTCAAGTCTTCATGCAATGGGCCTGGCTGGTTGACCTAGCACGCGAGGCTAGGGTTTCTGGCCGGTGGGAGGCTGCAGTTGCAACTGCAGCGTGGCTTGGCTCCTCCTGGTTGGCATCTTGTGCTGCTGCTGCGGCGTCTGCCTGGGAGGAGCCCTGGGTTTTTTCGCGCGCCTCAGCTTCCTGCAGAAGAGCGCTTCGTTTCTTGGCTGCAGCGGCAATTGCTCAGGCTGCCCCTGCAACTGAACCAGCATCGGGCGTGAGCCTGAGGAGGCGCCTCGCCGAGTACCGGGAGTGAGGCCTGTGAGCCAGGAGCAAGAAGTCCATGACCTCGCTGTCACATTTGGGGGACTTGACTATCCGGATTTTGAGGACTTCCACTGGAGGGGAGGGTATTCCTTTACTGAGTTCTTTTTCCTTGGTTTCTGAACCGCTCCGTTCAGGTGGCCTGGACGCCTGGTTGGGAGGCAGATCTTTTGAGCTGCCGAACACCTGCTGATTTTGAGAGGTTGGATTTGTCCCCAGTTGAGCATTTGGCGCGGCGACTCCGCGCTACGCGGTCAGACGGCACACCGAGGGCCCGCTACAACTATACACCTGACGCGCCTCAGGCTAATCGGGTGTACATTGTGCTGCAAGGGGCGCCAGACAAGCCCCGTGGTTGGACTGAGGATTATTTGGCCTATCCGATCCTGAGGCTGTCAAGGGTTCTGGGGGTGTTCGCTTTGATCCCCGCTCCACCCCAACGAGTTCCTTGTTCTTCGCAGAAAAGATCTGGTATCCCCGGAGGATGCATTGCTTCACTCGCAAACATCCATGTTCATTTTCGTTCGCAACCCCAAGACGTCCCGCTTAGCGTGCTCGGATAGACGACGCATCCATTGTTTTCCTTGCACGTTGTTCATTTGGAACCTTAGCCCTGGAAGAGCAGTTGTTCCCAGCGTCCACTGCCGTGTTCCGGCGGAAGTGGAATGTTCCGGCGGAAGTGGAACGCCGTGTTAGATCACCTTGGCGTTCCTAGAAGGCAGTCAGAGCGGAGCCGCTCCAGGCACTTTACGTGGCTCAGGCGCCACGCATGAGTACATCTTGACTTCAGACATTTCCAAAAGGTCGTTGGGCAAAAGTTCGCACCTTGGAGTACTACATCCAGGAGGTTGCAGCACAGCTTTTTCTGTTCAACCTCCCCTCCAAGGCTAGACACATCATTGCCCTCCTAGATGCCGATCTCTGTTGAAGCGGATGTTTCCTTCAGAAGTGGCACACTATGCACAGCAGAAATGAGGGAGTGCAGGAAGCCCTCGTTGTTGGTTGAATACACCAGCAGTCGGCTGCTTCAATAATAATAGTTTTTGGCACCCTACACTGGTCGTATAAGTTGAGCATTGGTTGACAGAGCTTCCACCAGCATTGTTGCAGCAG